GAGAGATGGCTCACACCTAAGAGTGCACAAACTGCTCTGGCAGAGGACACAAGTTCAGTAATCAGTAACCACATGGCAGCTCACAAGCATTTGTAACTCAGTTTCAAGAGATCCAATGCCTTCTTCGGGCCTTAGAGAGCACCAGGCACAGGCATTGTGCATAGACATACATACAGGAACTCTCACATACACATAAAATGAAAATAAATATCCATGGGCAGGAGCAATAGTTCAGCCATTAAGAAGAGTACATCCTGCTCTTGCAGAGGACCTGAGCTCAGTTCCCAAGACCCATATCCAGTGACTCATAACAGCATGTTATCTACAATTCCAGGGAGGGCCAACATTTCTGACTTCTACATGCACCAGCACTTATTTTTACAGGTTCACACACATCATACATAATTTAAAAGAGCAAATCACAGTTTTGTTTCTTTATTTTGCTTTGGTTGATAAGATGGGGTTTCTCTATGTAGCTTTGTAGACCAGACTCACAAAGATTCAGCAGCCTCTGCCTCCTGAGTGCTGGGATTAAACGTGTACACCATCCATGCCCAGCATAATAAATCATTTTTTAAAACTAGATAAAATCTACAATGGTGGAAAACATCTGTTCCAAGCACTTGGGAAGTGACAGCAGAAAGATCAGGAGTTAAAAGTCACAGCTGACTGTAATCAGGGTCAAGCCAGCATGGACTACATGAAACAGTCTCGAACAAAATAAAACACATCTTGGTTAACATAAGTTGTGTATTTCCTAAAGTAAATTCCCAACCAACAGCACTGTAAGTTAAGACAAAACAAAGTTAATCTTATACATGGCATTTTTTCAAAAGTATATTATGGCCTTCTCACCATCAAGAACACGTGACAGCACTCAAGCACATGCTTGGGTTCTATGTGAACAGGTACCTCACCAAATAAACAATTCTAAAAAGAAGAGGTAGTCAGAGAAGACAATTGTTTACAGAATGAGAACTGAAAGAAATTGCTGTGTTAGCCCTCAACCAGGAGTTCTCACACTGGGCCTCTCAGAATCTTCATCATTCTCAGTTTACAAATGAAAGGCCAGCAAATCTCTGGGGAAAAAAAAACAGGCTTTAAGGTTACAAACAAATTTAACAATGGACTTTACATCGCACACACACATACATAAATACATGCACACTTAATGTATGAAGGAATAGGACAGACAAGGGACTTCCAAAGGGCAATAAAAGTCAAAGTGTGCTTGGTTTTATAATGAAAACTCTAAACTATAATTCTTATTAGGAAATCTGCAATTGCAAGATTGGTATCACAAGGGTCTTTTCTCTGCCTTATCTGGACATGTCAGGGCAATGTCTCATATTGCCATCAATATTTAAATACACTGAGTACAATTTTATTTACTTATTTTCATTTTACATATTAATCCCAGTTCCCCCTTCCTCCCTCCCTGTTTCCCTCTGTTCATACCCCCATGCCCCCCGACCACACTCCTCTCCCACCCCCCACTCCACATGTAGGGTGATGTCTTCCAGGAGGGGTCATCTAAATCTGACACATCATTTGGAGTAGGGACTAGGCCTTCTCTCCTGTCTCTAGGTTAAGGGAGTATCCCTCCATGGGGGATGTGCACCCAAAGTCCTTTTGTGCACCAGGTACATATCCTGTTTCCACTGTCAAGGTCCCTTAGACTTCCCAGGCCTTCCGGCAGAGACCCATGTTTAGGGAGTCTGAGTCAGTCCAATGCTGGAATCCCAGCTATCAGTCTGGGGGCCTAGTAGCTCCTCCTTTTTTCAGGTTGGCTGTCTCAATGTATATTTGTAGCCTGGTCTTGTCCTCTCTCTCTGCTTCTGAATTCCTGTTTTGCTCAGTGGTTACTTGTGGGTGTCTGCTTCTGTTTCCATCTGCTGCTAGATGATAGCTCTATGATGGTGGATAAGACAGTCCTCAATCTCATTATCAGGGAAGGGCATTTATGGTAGCCCTTCCACTGTTGCTCAAATTGTTACTTGCAGTGAGACTTGAAGGTCTCTGGATATTTCTCTAGGTTCATTTTTCTCTTCAAACATATAATTGCTCCCTCTATTATGTTCCCTCTCTCTTCTCATCTATTCCTCCCCTGACTCAATCTTCCTAGGCCCACATGCTTTCCTCTCCTCCCCTTCTCTTCCTCCTAGCTCCCTCTCCACTCACTGCCCCACCACTCCCCATATGCTCAGGAGATCTTGTCCCTTTCCCCTTCTGTGAGGGAACTTATATGAATCTCTTAGAATCCTCTTTGCATCTTAATTTCTTTGGCAGTGTTAATTATAGGCTGGTGATCCTTTGCTCAGTCTAAAATACATATATGATTGAGTACATACAATTTTATTCTTTTTGTGACTGGGTTACCTCATTCAGGATAGTTTCTTGAAGGTCCATTCACTTTACTGCAAATTTCAAGATTTTATTCTTTTCTTTTCCGGCAGAGTAGTATTCCATTGTGTAAATGTGCTATATCTTCTTTATCCATTCTTCAGTTGAAGGGCATGTTGGTTGCTTCCAGATTCTTGTGATTACAAACCATGCTTCCATGAACATAGTAGAACAGAAATCTGTGTTGCATGGATGTGGATCAGTTGGGTATATGCCTAAGATGGCGATTGCCGGGGCCTGTGGTAGACTGATTCCCATTTTCCTGAGGAACCGCCTTAATGATCTCCAAAATAACTGTACAACTTTGCACTCTCACCAACAGTGGAGGAGTGTTCCCCTTTCTCCACATCCTGTCCAGCATAAGTTGTTCTTGGTGTTTCTAATTTTAGCCAATCTGGCAGCAGTAAGATGGTATCTCGAAGTTCCTTTATTTGCATTTCCCTGATAGCTAAGGACTGTGAGTACATTCTTTAGTGCCCTTCAGCCTTTTAAATTTCCTCTATTGAGAGTTCTCTATTAAGGTCTGGACCCCATTTTTAATAGGGTTATTTGGTATTTTGTTGACTAGTTTCTTGAGTTCTTTGTATATTTTGGAGATCAGCCCTCTGTCAGATGTAGGATCGGTGAAGATATTTTCCCAGTCTGTGGGCTGCCGTTTGGTCTTGTCCACTGTGTCCTTTGCCTTATAGAAGCTTCTCAGTTGGGGAGGTCCCATTTATTAATTGTACATCTCAGTGTCTGTGCTACTAGAGTTATGTTCAGGAAGCAGTCTTCTGTACCAGTTTGTTCAAGGGTACTTCCCACTTTCTCTTCTATGAGGTTCTACGAGTTTCAGTGTGGAAGGACATATGATGAGGTCTTTGATCCACTTGGACTTGAGTTTTGTGGATGGCGATAGACATGGGTCTATCTGCAGTCTTTTACCCACCATCATCCAGTTGTGCCAGCACCATTTGTTGAAGATGTTTTCCTCCTCACGGTATATACTTTCAGCTGTTTTGTCCTAAATCAGGTGTCCGTAGCTGTGTGGGTTAATGGCAGAATATTTGATTTAATTTCATTGGTGACCTTGTCTATTTTTGTGCCAATACCAGGCTGTTTTCAGGACTATAGGTCTGTTGTAGAGCTTAAAGTTGAGGATGGTGATGCCTCCTGGAGTTTCTTTATTGTACAGGATTGTTTTAGCTATCCTGATTTTATTTCTTTTTCTGTATAAAGTTGATTATTATCCTTTCAAGGATATTGAAGAATTGATTGAGCACAAATATTGATTGGAAACCCACTATTTTCCTTTCAGTTTAGGCACTGGGAATATAAATAAAAGTACCATACTTCTTACAGAGTTTAAATTAATGTGAAGCGGAGGACATGATGATTAGAGAACAAAACAAGATGTGACGAGAAATAACGGAACAAAATAAGAGATATTGGTTTAGTTAGGGTACCGAGAAAGCCTTCTTTAAGATGACAGTGGGACCCCACATCTGAATGAAACAAAGATTCAAAAATGCAAGCACATAGAACACCACATAGTGAAAAAAATAAAAAGAAGGAAAGAAAAAGCTTGAAAGATGAAAGACCTTACCATACAGATGTGCTGGGCACACCAAAAATGAAGAAAGCCAATGGCAATAGATAGCAACAAAGAAAAGAGACATAGAATAGTCTATAGCTTCTCACAAGGTGGGTATGGTAAACTTGGTTCTGAGAATCTTGTTTTAAGTCTGTTTAAAACATTTGAGGGGGGGTGCAGGAAAGACTGTGACAGTATGCACAATTTATGTTTTAGGAGTTATTCTGAGTTTACAGAGAAAAGACAGTGTAGGAAGATATAAAGACATTCATAGGGCTACTGTAATGAACCAACTACTGCTAATGATGGCTTTAACCAGAGTATTGGTAGATGATAAAAAGCCATCAGATTAAAGGTTAAGAAATTTGACAGAATTTGATGATAAGACAAACAAATATGGGACACAAAAGGGGCACTGAAGGATGACTAGCAGCTGCCCTGTTCACAAATACAATGATACTGCCATTTAGTAACTACAACAAAGAATATTAAGCAAGCCTAACTTGCGCAGAAGAAAGGAGTCAGTTTTATATACAATAGGAAGTTCCATCCAAAGACACCGCTCAGATTCCTGGACCCGTATGTCAGCATGAGTTTAAGGCAATAATCTGATAAATGTTACCAGATACTGAGAAAGGTAGCTTGGGAATTCCAACATATTTACATTTTGTTCATGAAGAAAATCGTCCAAGACAAAATAACATTCTTAAAAATGAATGATGTAGCCAGGTGATGTAGGGCACTCCTTTAAAACTAGCAGTCAGGAAGCAAAGGCAGGTGGATCTCTCTTAGTTCAAGGCCAGCCTGGTCTACAGAGTGAGTTCCAGGATAGGCTGCAAAGCTACACAGACAAATCCTGTCTTGAAAACACAAACAAACACCAAATTAAAAAAAAAAAGAAACAACATGAATGATTCTATGTAATTGATAACATCCAATAATCAATGTGTAAAGCCTCTAATACATAACATGCATTTAAAGACATTTCACTTGCCATTCACTGGAGTTACCAAACACCTCTCACCTGTGAAGCATCCTTTCATTGTCTTGGTACAGCTCCCTCATCACTGTGATTTTCCTTTGAAGCTTCTGTTTCTCGATTTCAAGTTGTGTATTACCTGACTGCAAAGACACTTGTTCAGACTTGAGACTTCGCATATGCTCTAGACAAAGGTACAAAATCATAAAGAAACTAAAGGAATTAAAGAATTCTTCAGTTCTTAATAAAGAAATTAAAGGAATTTCATACAATTAAAAACATATTAAAAATATTAACGATACACAAAGTTGGTCAGATCACTGTGACTTCAAAACCCACCTACTTTATAAAGATACACAGAGAAGCCTGTCTTGAAAACAAAAATCCTTAATCACATGCCTAGGGTTTTTTTAAATGTATATGGAATCACTCAGACAATATACAATTAAAAATATGTCTTAAAATTTAGTGGCTAGAGATGGTAAGGGGAGTGTTTGTTTTTCCAAAGGTCCTGAGTTCAGATCTCAGAAACTACATGGTGGCTCACACAATCTGTAATGGGGTCTGGTGCCCTCATCTGGCTTGCAGGTGTGCATCCAGTCAGAAAATTGTATACATAATAAATAAATAAATCTTAAAGAAAAAAAGATAATTGACAAGATTGGACATGCCCAGGGACATACAGCTATAGACAATTACTATACACAACAGTTCAGTTACTAGTACCATAATAAATCAGTCTTTTTTTCAGTCTAAATTGTTCATGTGCTGTCATTCAAACTAGCTGATAATAAGTGTTCATTTCCAGTTTCCTGAGAGACCAAGACTCAAACAAAATGAAGACTGGAAAGAATAATGACTTTTACATTATTTCAACTGCTATACTACTGAATCACCCACAAAATTGGGGAGATAGCTCAGTCAGTAAGGTACTGGCTAAACAAACATGAGGACCAAAGTTTGGGTCATGAGCACCCATATAAGACCTGTCTGAGTGCTGAAAAGGGAAAAAACAAGTTCCCTAGGGCTTACTGAGCAGCACAATCCAGGTTTAATGACAGCTTTCTCAATGAATAAGGGGGAAAGCAATTGAAGGAAAGCCTGAATATCTACCTTTGTCCTCTATATACATATGAATACAGACACACACAAAATGGATTAACAATTATAAGTGATTGTGAATTCTGTATGAACTAGCACACCATTATTTTTACATATCTCACTTTTCTTTCATTATGATTAATACAACTCTACACAGCTCTAATATTAAAATGAGAACCTCAACTCTGACCTGCTCTAAGGTATCATTCCCAAAACATATGTGAACCAATCGAATACAAGAAAAAAATGCACTATACTTCAAAAGGGCAGTTTCAAAATCATAACAAGGAAAAGTTTAGTAACTATGTGCAATGGGATGTTATTATTCTAAAATGCAAGCTAAATAAACATATGGACCAAAAGAAAAGTTTGTGTCGATACAGTAATAGCAAAGGGAAAATATACAGGAAATCATGAATAGTTGACTTCTGCAAAAATTGTAAAGCTATATCAGAAAAAAAAATGCCCATCCATGCTGTCTGCCAGATCTAACAAGTCACTTATCAAGAAATCAATGGTCAATACAAGCTGTAATATAATTGAATCATACTAATGCAAAGAAGCCTTAAAAAACAACACAAATTATTTTACCATTATACACTCAAGCTCTTTTTTCTAGTGTCTTACTTTATCTCATTTTAAAACTTTTAAAACTAAGTGTTTGGGAGACGTGGAGGGCAGGGGCTCAGAGGGAAGGGGACTGGGAAAAAGTATAGCTCAATTCAAAAAACGTTTGTGTGTGTGTGTGTGTGTGTGTGTGTGTGTGTGTGTGTGTGTGTGTGTGTTCACCTCAGCCTGCATGCCCAGGTGGGCAAAGGTCAGAGGACAACTAGCAGGGGTCTGTTCTCTCCTTCCACTGGAGACTGAATTCAGACCATCAGGCTCAGAAGAAGGGGCTTTTATGCACTGAACCCAGACACTATAATAGGGCACTGTACAGGCCAGGTGCAGTAATTTTAAGCCTATATAAAGCAGACATGTGAGAAGCTGAGGTAGAAATGTGAGGACTTCAAGAAGCCTGGGGTTACATAGAAACATGCATTTAAAGGAAGAACACTATAAATTACCAAAAAGGCCAGAATCTATGGGAGATGAGAGATGGTTAGAGAAAAATGCTCCCATATGTTAAAAATTAATTATTGAAAAATTTTATGACGCATTAAGGAAAGAATGTTGGGGCTGGAGACATGGCTCAGCAGTTAAGAGCAATGAATGCTCTTCCAGAGAACCTTGGCTCAATTCCGATCACCCACAGGGCAGCTCAAAACTGTCTGTAACTCCAGTTCCAGAGGATCTGACACTCTCACACAGACATATATGTGAGCAAACTCCCAATAAAGTAAATAAATAAAAAACATTAAATAATTTTTTAAAACACCATGGAAAAAGAAAAGGTGGATTTGGAGGAACGCTCTACACACACAAGAGTTTCCCATATTATTTGGTGGGGGGGGGATTAAGACTGGCCAAGAGAAGGAGTAAACAATGGAATAACTGGTGAACTAATTGCTTGCTACACTGGTACTTCCTACTAAGATACATGTACGTTAATGTATGCCTCGATAAAGCTGCCTTGAAAACAGAGTGCCTATTCCTCTCTGTATCTTCCACACTGTTAATACTATTCTCAGATAGCAGCATTTTTTTTAATTAGACTAGTGTTTTTTCAGGTCTAATAACAATACAATTAGTATAATCAGTGAGTAGGGCAATTTAATCCAATGGTTCAATCTTTTTTAAGCATTTTGCTCATTAAAAGTCTTAAAGGCCTTTGAGACCCTTTTGGTCTTTTTCTCATCAGATCTCAACCCTGGTCTTGAAGGTTATAAAGAAGATAAAGTACACTGAAGCTGGCCTCACAACGATGAAGTCTGGTATAGAGCATAGGTCCAGATTCAAATGGTTCTGGCTATCGTTTGGAAGACAGAATAAGTTAAGAATGAAAAGGAAGAAATGTGAAGTTCTGGGCAGCCGTGGCAATGGTTGACTACATATTGACGTTTCTTGTATTCATTGAGAGGATTATTTTGTTGATGTTGATTTCTGGTATGTTTATATTCAGCTGTGTAATCAGTGAAGGGGCTTTGCCTGTGATCATAGGTGTAGAGTTAGAAACAGGCAGGAAAAGCATCAGGCAGGTAAAAATGAAGCTCTACAAGCAGAAGTTTTTGTCTTATGTTGCATCATTTAAGCAAGTGTAACAGGATCAATAAAGCCTGTTTTGAAAAGAAAATATAGATGAGGAGAAATAAAAAAAAAAAAAAGATGCCTGTGGTTCCATTCTGAGTTAACCAGCACAGACATTTGAATATGTCCATCCATTCTTTTCAGATATAAAAATATGAATTTATTTCATTAACACAGTGAGATGTGATATACCTTTTACAGCACAAACACAACTGGCAAAAACTATTTTTCAATGTGAACAAAATCAGCAAACTTTTTTAATGCTTTCCATAAAAAAATATATTTTTACAGGTGTAAAGCCACTCTTGTGTATGCTAATAAATTATATGAATATATTAAAATAGTAGACATTACAAGCTCAAGTCCTGAAGATCACTTTCTCAATTTTAAAAAATGTAAGGAAAAAATTAAATTTAAAACTTTTTAACATCTAAAACTATATCCAACATTGTACTCCTTGTGGTGGCTTGAGTGAAAATGTCACCCTAGGCTCAGAGGATGTGACACTATTAGGAAGTATTGCTTTGTTGGAGGAAGTTGTCACTGAGGGTGAGCTTTGAGGTTTCAGATGCTCAAGACTGACCCAGTGGCACTCTTCCTGCTGCCTGCAGATCTAGATATAGAACTCCTGGATCTTTCCCCAGCACCATGTCTGCCTGTGTGATCTTCTGCAGTGCAATTACTATGGAATACTACTTTATGGTATACTTATAATTTGCAGGCCCTAGAACTCTGAACTATAAGCCAGATCCAATGAATGTCTTCCTTATAAGAGTTGCCATGGTCAAGGTGTCTCTACATAGCAATAGAAACCCTAACAAAGATGCACCATACTCCACATTCTTACATACTTTTAATAATTTACATAAATATAAGAGATAATGGAATACATTTACCACTGACAGTAAAACTCAGAAGTAATTCATTCTCTTTAAGGAGACGTGCTCGTCAAGAACCCTTACCTGTAAGATCATCATTTGTTGCATCTATTTCAGATAACTGAGTATAAATTTGGTTTCTGTCTCCTTCTAGGGTTTTTAACGAAGCACTTAACTTCAAAGAAGGAAAAGAAGAAGAAAAGCAATTATCAATTACACAAAAGAAACACACATCCCCAATATACCCCATACTACTGTTCTGCAGTTATTTTCCCCGTGATGATGTTATCATGGACAACATAAAGACATCAGTGCAGCTGCCAAAGCAGCCTTCACCCTATACAATCAGGACTTTTTACACAGATTAACTAAGAACTGACAGAGGGAATAAACCAGAAGAAAACACAGCTATTATTTATTTCTCAAAAGAGTATATAGAACCATTGGAACCAGAAGAAAAGAATGCACATGGGGAATGATTAAATAAAACAATAATATTCTGAAGATATCTTTAATGGAAGAAATGAGTGTACAATTTGAACATTTCTAAATACTATAATTATAAAAATTTCTAAAGTTGATATAAAAAAAAGAAATTGATAAGGAAATCCTAGGGGCTGGAGAGATAGTACACTGGCTGCTCTTCCAGTGGACCTGAATTTAAGTCTCTACACGCACATGGCAGCTCATGACTGTCTGTAGCTCCAGTTCCAGGGAATCTCAAACCCTCATAAAAACAAGCATACTGCCAAACCACCAATGCACAGAAAATTAATACATCAAAAGAAAAAGAAAATTCTCATCATTTATCATATAACCTTATACAAAAAAAATTAAAGCAATCTTTAAATTAGTTACTAAGGACACACAGATTTCATGTCTGCTGTAGGTCCTGCTCCTTCTCATCTAGATTTTTACATACTAATACAAACCTCAGTAGCATATATTAGCTTCCTCAAAGCTCCCTTAGGCTGATTACCTACAGTGAAAAATAAAACCATACTTAGTGAACACATCCAAATGAATACATTAGTTCTTTATCTAGTCTTGCAACCCCTCTTCTGGCCAAAATTAAATAATTTGAGGCTGAGCTTACTTGCTCTTGACTCTAATTCCAACATTTCACAGCTAAGACAAGGGGATTCCCATGAGTATAAGGCCAGCCTGGACTCCAAGGTGAATTCCAGGCCAGCTTGACCTACAGCAAGATGTTGTCTCAGTAAAAAGAGTAATTAAAATAAAATAATAATTTATATAAGGTAGAGTGATCTACACTCAGGAAGATAGACAGTGTACTACAGAGACCCAACAAGAACTGAATATTTACCTAAACAGTGTCCATGGACTTAACTATGCTTAGATTCTTATGGCATTACAGCATCCAGGTTAATTAGTCAACCGTGGCTTCAACACTAAAATTATTAATGAACCATGGCTCCAAGTTAAGTACTATTAAACATAAATAGAATTTATGTTTCTTCTATTATAAAATAAAAATGAAAAATACAAATATTTTATATTACTATACCTTACTATAGTTCCCCTTTTGTTATGGAACTTAAGAGCTGTGTTGTTATAATGAAGAAATATAGGCTATAGAGAAGAACAAAAGAGAAGAAGTCTACAACTCTGAAGAGGTAAAGAAATATTTACACAAAAGACTAGCTAAATAAGGTGGAAAGGGAGCGTGGTATTTCATGAAGATAGACAAAATGTGCCAAGTCTAAGTATATGAGGAGCTCTATACACATGTGGAATGAAGAGGAAACAAGGAGCCAGTCGCCACAAGTCAGTGCACGTTATTCTCTAAGTCATTGTTCACTTCTACATCCAGATTACCATCATCAGTTACATCTTCCCCAAGCACAGAATTCCAGTCTTTCATCCTTAGCAGGCTCTCCATCAGAGACTGGATATTGAGTAAAAAGAGAAAACAAAAAGAGAAGGTAATGACTCATGATAATAGCTTTACAATTTAGAACTTAACTCATCTGAAATTCAATCCTGAGCCAATGAGATGGCTCGGCAGGTAAAAGCATCTGCCACTTAGACTGATAATCTGAGTTTAATCCCCAGAACCCACATGGTAGGAAAATTGCCTCCCAAAATTTGTCTTCTGAACTCCATACCCACATCATGGAATGCACATACCTGACACATACATACACAAGTAAATTTTTAAATATTATAATTTTTTAAATCAATCCCCATGAATAAATCCTTTTGTACCCTAAGTATCTCTCTGCAATTGAGATATGTAAACAGTTGGTTTTATCTTCTAACTCCACATTTAGGGACTATTAATCCTGAAAAACTAACTTGCTGAACATGGTACATCTTTTACCCCACCACTCAGAAGGAATAGGCAGGCAGATCTATGTGAGATGGGAGCCAGCCTGATATAATAAAGTGAGTTCTGGTAAGAAAAAACTACCTCTTGAAACACTGTATGCAAAAATAAATATTATGGATATTATGGAAAGGAGGGATGGAGGAAGGGGAGGTAGTGAGGGAAGGAAGGAATGAAGGATGAAGAGAAAAAGGAAAAGAAAGAAGAGAAAACAAAATCAAATACAGTGTTTTATAATGGTTCATTCTTGTTAACTACAAAGCAATAAAATATTTTCTTTTGTGTGTATCATACACACATGAGTATGCAGGTGCACATACAGCTGCAAGAGCATGAGGCAAGAAGATGCAAGTGTCTTCTTCCATCATACTCTACCTTACTGCCTGGAGACAGGACCTCTCATGTAATAAGAACTCCACTATCTCAAAAGCATGGCTGCTCAACAGGGTCTAATCTCCACTGTCTCTGTCCCCTGTGCGGGGCTCTCAGGCATGTGCAGCCATGATCTTCTTATGTGGGTGCTTAGAATTCAAACTCAAGACCTTATGTTTGCAGACCAAGTGCACTAACCCACTAAACCATCTCCCCACTCCCTAAAATACTTTCTTTTGACATTCTTTACATTTTTTACTAATTTACAGTTGGACTTGAGAGATAGCTGAGCAGTTTGGGACTTGTTACTCTACTAAAGCATCTAAGCTCTTTTCCCAGCACCCACATCAGATGGGTAACTTGTAACTCCAGCTCCAGGATATTCAGTGGTCTCTTCTGGCCTCTGTGGGAAGCATGCAGTGGCCAATAACATATGGAGTGGGATATGTTGTGTGGTGTTTCATCTATCTCCGAGACATACAAAAGCTATAAAAAAGATTCATACAAATCTATGAAAACATCATAGACATCTTGGGCACTGCACTCAAATGCACATTCCTATACATGGGCACATACAAATACACACCAACTAAAAAATTAACATCTCTGGCTGGAGAGATGGCTCAGCTGTTAAGAGCAGATATTATCTTGACAAAGGCCCAAATTCAATCTCACTACCCATATCTAGCATTTCTCAACTCCCTGTAACCTCAGCTGCAGGGACTACAACCTTTCTGGTTTCTGAGGGCCAAAAAACTCACATGATTATACCCACAAAAAACTAAAATACAGATTCTTGATTTATACAAGGAAGTAACTAGCTGGAGAGTCCAAATGAGACAAACAAAGACACGTTGTAAAATATTTTGAAGGAGTACTGGAAGACCATCAACTGATTTTTCTGCTGCTGTTGATATTTCTTTTTTTTTTTTTTTTTTTTTTTTTTTTTTTTTGTGAAATCCGCCTATATCTGAGAGTCCACCCTGAGTTCCTGCCGCCAGCAAGATCCTTGACCCCTAAAGCAGGGCCTCTGCTAAAGAAAGAGGCCTCAGCTGGAGAGTCCCAGTTTCCAGTGAGATCAGACTATCATGCAGAAACTTGCCAAGTTTCAGCTCAGCCTCTGTCCTCCTCCCCCAGCCATTGACTAGAGCCATTGGCTAGTGGCATCTTCTACATTATCCTCAGCCCTGACCCCATCCCTGGGTCCCTGTCTGTGGAGAGACCTCCTATAGAGCTTGGACTACCCAGAGATATAGATATTGACTCACTGACCACAAAATCCCACTGGGGAAGTATCATAGAGAGAGGGGGAGACCCCATCAACACCTACTGGAAGAAGCTATGAGAAGACGGCAATACAAGAAAACACCTAACAACAGAAAGACAAGCATGACACCACCAGAATCTAAGGAATCTACACCAACTAGAATGGAACACAACAACAAAGCAGAGGAAGCAGAAGGGAACGACTTAAAAATTTCTGTCATAAAAATGATAGAGGCCCTCAAAGAAGATGTGAGAAAAATCCCTTAAGGAAATGGAGGAAAAAAACAAACAAAAAGTGGAAGAAATGAACAAATTCCTTAAGGAAAGCAAAGAAAGTACTGAAAGCCACCAAAAAAAAAATAAAAAAAATAAAAATTAAGCAGGTAAATGAAATGGTTCAAGACCAAAAACTAAACTAGAGAAAATAAAGGCAACACAAACTGAAGGAATGCTGGAAATAGAAAAACTGGGCAAAAAATCGGGAACTACAGGCACAAGCATAACCAATAGAATTCAAGAGATCGAAGAGAGAATCTCAGGTACAGAAGATAAACTAGAAGAAATAGATTCATCGACCAAAGAAAATCATAAATCCAACAAATCCTTAACAAAAAACATACAGGAAATGTTGGACACCGTGAAAAGGCCAAACCTAAGAATAATAGGCATAGAGTAAGGTGAGGAAGCCCAGCTCAAGTTGGTGAAAGCATATTCAACAAAATCATCGAGGAAAACTTTGCAAATCTGAAGAAGGACATGCCCATGAAAGTACAAGAAGCATACCGAACCCCAAATAGGCTGGACCAAAAAAAAAAAAAAAGACCCCTCCACATATAATAATCAAAACACCTAGCATAAAGAATAAAGAAAATTAAGCGCAGTAAAGGAAAAAGGACAGGTAACATATAAAGGCAGACCTATCAAAATTACACCTGACTTCTCCATGGAAACCCTCAAGGCCAGAAGATCCTGGAAAGATGTTCTTAAATATAAAGAGAACATGAATGCCAGTCTTGGCTACTATATCCAGCAAAACTCTCAATCACTATAGATGGAGAAAACAAGATATTTAATGACAAAACCAGATTTTCCCAAAACTTATCTACAAATCCAGCCGTACAGAAATTATTGGAAGGTAAACTCCAACCCAAAGAAGGTAACTACGCCCACAAAAATGTAGACAACAGATAATCCAACTACACCAGAAACCAAGGGTAAAAAAGAACTAATATATTCAAAATACCACTGCCAACAACAAACCTAAATCAAGCAAGCATCAACAATCAATGGTCCTTACTCACGCTCAACATTAATGTCCTTAACGCACCAATAAAAAGACACAGGCTAACAGAATTGATACGAAGACAGAATCCATCCTTCTGCTGCATACAAGAAACACATCTTAGCTCCAAAGATAGACATTACCTCAGGGTAAAGGGTTGGGAAAAGATATTCCAATCAAATGGAACCAAGAAGCAAGCAAGCATAGCTATCCTAATATCTAACAAGTTAGACTTCAAACCAAAATTAATCAAACAAGATGAAGATGGTCATTTCGTTTTCATCGTAGGGGAAATCCATCAACACAAAGTCTCAGTTCTGAACATCTATGCCCATAATACAAAGGCACCAACATTTGAAAAAGAAACGCTACTAAAACTCAAAGTTCATATAACACCTCACACACTTTTAGTGGGAGACTTCAATATACCACTCTCAACACTAGACAGGACCACCAATCAGAAACTCAACACAGAAACAAAAGAACTAACAGAAGTTATGTCTCAACTGGGATTAACAGACATCTATAGAACATTCCATCCAAAGAAAAAAGAATATACTTTCTTCTCTGCTCCACATAGAACCTTCTCTAAAATCGACCACATACTAGGTGACATAACAAACCTCAACAGATACAAGAGAATAGGAATAGTCCCCTGTATCTTATCAGACCACCATGCTTTAAAATTGGAATTCAACAACAACACAAATAGCAGAAAACCTGCAAACTCAAGGAAACTGAACAATGTGCAATTGTACCACTCCTAGGTCAAAGAGGAAATAAACAAAAAAATTAAGGACTTTCTGATATTCAACGAGAATGAGGACACAATATGCCCGAACTTATGGGACACCTTGAAAGCATTGCTACGAGGGATGTTCATTGCACTAAGTGCCCATATGAAGAAAACAGAGGATAGTCACATAAGAGAATTAACAGCGCAACTGTAAGCCTTAGAACAGAGAGAAGTGAACTCACCCGTAGAAGTAGATGCCAGGAAATAATCAACTTGATGGCTGAAATCAACAAAATAGAAACCAGGAAAACAATACAAAAAAAAATCAATGCAACGAAGAATTGGTTTTCTGAGAAAATCAACAAGATAGACAAACCTTTATCCAAATTAACGAAAAAGCAGAGAGAGAATATGCAAATTAACAAAATCAGAAACGAAAAGGGGAATATAACAACAGAGGAAATGCAGACAATTTTCAGGTCATACTTTGAAAATCTGCATTCCACAAAAATTGAAATTCAAAGGAAATGGACAAATTTCTGGATAATTATAACTTACCAAATTAAATTAAGAACAGAAAAACAACTTAAATAGACCTAAAACCTGCAAAGAAATAGAAGCAGTCATCGAAAGCCTTCCAACCAAAAAAAGTCCAGAGCCAGATGGATTCAGTGCAGAATTCTACCAAACACTAAAGGAAGAACTAATACCACTACTCCTCAAACTATTCCACAAAATAGAAACAGAAGGTTCATTGCCAAACTCTGTTTATGAGGCCACAATAACCTTGGTACCCAAGCCTCACAAAGACACAACTAAGAAAGAAAACTATAGACCAATATCCCTGATGAATATCGATGCAAAAATACTCAATAAAATACTGGCAAACTGAATTCAAGAATACATCAGAGAAATCATACTCCATGACCAAGTAGGCTTCATCCCTGGAATGCAGGATGGTTTATCACACAAAAATCTATCAAGGTGATCCACCATATAAACAAACAGAAAAAGAAAAACCATATGATTATCTCCCTAGATGCTGAAAACTCTTTCTACAAAATTCAACACCCTTTCATGATAAAGGTCTTGGAGAGGTCAGGGATAATAGGATCATACCTAAACATAATAAGAACCATATACAGCAAACCAACTGCCAACATCAAACTGAATGGAGAGAAACTTAAGCCAATTCCTATAAAATCAAGAACAAGACAAAGCTGCCCTCTCTCTCCATATCTCAATATCGTACTAGATGATCTAGCTAATGCTATAAGACAACAAAAGCAGATCAACGTGATCCAATTTGAAAAGGAAGAACTCAAACTGTCTCGATTTGCAGATGATATGATAGTTTATATAAGCAACCCAATACACTCTACCAGGGAACTCCTACAGCTGATAAACACCTTCAGAAAATTAGCAGGATACAAGATAAACTCAAAAAAATAACAATAGCCCTACTTTTTTCAGACGACAAAGAGACAGAGAAAGAAATTGAGAAGCATCACCCTTTACAATAGCCTCAAGCAACATAAAGAATCTTGGTGTAATGCTTACCAAACAAATAAAAGACCTATATAACAAGAACATTGTGGCTCTAAAGAAAGAAATTAAGAAAGACACCAGAAAATTGAAAGATCTCCCATGCTCTTGAACAGGTAGGATAAACATAGTAAAAATGGCAATCTTACCAAAAGCAATCTACAGATTCAATGCAATCCCCATTAATATCCCCCCACAATTCTTCACTGACCTTGAAATGATAATAATCAACTTTATATAGAAAAACAAAAGACCCAGGATAGCCAAAACAACCATATACAATATAAGAACTTCAGGAGGCATCACCATTCCTGATTTTTAAATCTACTACAGAGCTATAGTTCTTACAACAGCCTGGTATTGGCATAAAAATAGACAGGCAGATCAATGGAATGGAATTGAAAATCCTGATATTAACCCACACACCTAATGAACACCTGATTTTCAACAAAACAGCTAAAATTATACAATGGGGTGCAGACAGCATTTTCAACAAATGGTGCTGGCACAATTGGATGAGGGTGTGTAGAAGACTGCAGATAGACCCATGTCTGTCACAAAACTCAAGCCCAAATCGATCAAACACCTCAATCCAGCCACACTGAACCTCTTAGAAGAGAAAGTAGGAGGTACCCTTGAAAATAACTCCATTGGCACAGACCCTGAGAAAAACAATTAATAAGGGACCTCTTCAAACTTAAAAGCTTATGTAAGGCAAAGGACACAGTGGACAAGACCAAATGGCAGCCCACAGACTGGGAAAAGATTTTTCACCAATCCTGTATCCGACAAAGGGCAAATTTTAGAACTCATGAAACTAGTCAACATAACACCAAATAACCCTATTAAAAAATGGGTTACAGAATGAAGAAAGAATTCTCAACAGAGGAAATCAAAAAGGCTGAAAGACACTTAAGAAAATGCTCCACATCCTTAGCTATCAGGGAAATGCAAATCAAAACATCTTTGACATACCATCTTACTCCTGCCACAATGGATAAATTAGAAACACCAATGATGACTCATGTTGGAGAGGATGTGGAGAAATGGGAACACTCCTCCACTGCTGGTGGGAACGCAAACTCATACAGCCATTTTGGAGATCAGTATGGCGGTTCCTCAGGAAAATTGGAATTAGTTTACCACAGGACCCGGCAATCCCCCTCTCTTGGGCATATACCCATATGATCCACATCCACGCAAAAAAGACATCTGTTCAACTATGTTCACGGCAGCACTATTTGTAATAGCAAGAACCTGGAAGCAGCCTAGATGCCCCTCAATTGAAGAATGGTTAATGAAGATGTGGCACACCTACACAATGGAATACTACTCTGCAGAAAAAAATAATGGTATCTTGAAATTCGCAGGCAAGTGGATGGCACTTGAAGAAACCATCCTGAATGAGGTAACCCAGTCACAAAAAGAGGAACACAGTATGTACTCACCCATATGTGGATTTTAGACCTAGATCAAAGGATCACCAGCCTATAATTCACACCACCAGAGGAACTAGGATAGAAGGTGTATTCTAAGAGATTCATATAAAGTCCCTCACAGAACTGGGAAGGGACAAGTCCCCCAGAGCTCAGTTGAAGTGGGGGGGGCAGCAAATGGAGAGAGAAGTAGGAGAAAATGAGAGGGAGTAAAGGAAAATATGTGCGACCAGGAAGATTGAGCCCGGTTAGGAATAGAAGATGAGAGAGAGAGAGAGAGAGAGAGAGAGAGAGAGAGACATAAAAGATGGAGCCAATAATGGTTTGAAGTTAAATTGAACACAAAGAAAGGTCTAGAGAGCTACAAGACTGCTGCCCACTAACAATCTGAGCTTCTGTGGAAAGGCTATCATAAATGCCCTTCCCGAAGAGTGAGATCAACAACAAACTTATCCATGGAGTCCTAAACTTGTGCCTGATGGAAACAGGAGCAAACACCCATACATAAACACTGAGTCGAAGTAGAACCCAGATGCAGATGGAGAGGACAAGACCAGGCTGAAGAAACACATAGAGACAGCTTACCTGAACAAGAAGGAGCTAATGGGCCAGCAGACTGATAGCTGGGAAGCCAGCATGGGAATGACTCAGGCCCTCCTGAATATGCCTCTCAGCCAGAAGAACTGAGCAGTCTAAGAGACCTCAGACAGTGGAGCCAGGATGTATCCCTGGTGCACAAAAGGACCTTGCGAACACATCCCCCATGGAGGGATAACTGCCTTAACCTAGAGACAGGAGAGAAGCCCTAGTCCCTACTTCACATGACCTGTCAGATCTACATGACCCCAACTGGATGGCATTCCCCTACATATGGAATTGGGGTGGGGGGATAGGAGGGGAGGGTGGATAGATTGCATGTGAGAGGGCAGAGAGGGAAAGGGGAGAGAGGGAGAGGGGAACTGTGATGGACATATAAAATAATAAATTAAATTAAAAAAAATGCTTTGACTCCAAAATTTAAGCTCAAGGACAAGTTACTGGGGAAAAGGATTTCTATTTTTGTTTCCACAGAAAATGAAAAGATGTGGATTCCTTCCAGACTAATGTGTTTTGATAAAGCCAGACTGCCTGAAACAGAGTACCAGGTGATCCTACATTCAAAACAGCTGGACAAAGCAGCCTTACAGACTACAGCCAGGATTTCTGCATCTTCTTGGAATTACCTTGTCAGAGACCCTTACCAGCAGGAAGTAGTATGGAAAGAATGATGCCCAAATTCCCAAATATTGTCTAATGTTTGTTTTCATTTAAATGGAATTGGTTATATAAAATAACAAAAAGGTAAAAATCATTATTTTATTTCTTTATTCATGAACACCAGGCTAAAATACTGGAGAACAAAGACATGGATTGTTAACATATATATTACAAATCTATGTATGTTCTAGAAGCATTTGAAATGTAACAAAAAGACACAATAGCAAATAAAAGCTGTTAAAATTATTTGAATTAAATAATTAACCATAAAATTGTGACCCAACAATCCATTACCTTGATCTGATTTTCCTTAACTTTTAGGCGTTGCTCTGCCTGTACATTGGATACTTCGATTGCTGTTTTCTGTTTATTGAGTTGATTCATTTGTTCTTTCATGACTTTAGCTTCTTCTAAATACTGACAGGAAAACAATAACAACGATGTGAAAGATAGCACAATGTTTAGAAGAATTTTTTCAATATCATTAAAAGATACTAAATGTGTTATTAAATGATATTAAAAAAAGATAGGGTTGCTACTTAAATAGGGACTCAGATGGGGTTCCTTTTTATAAAGAACTTTCAAAGCAGAAGAGTACAAAATAAGAAATATTCTTCAATTGATTTACAAGGAAAATTTTAATCAAGTACACGATTTTGACACATACTTGTATGAAAAATCTAGTCAATTCTTTCTATCTTTGTACCCTATATACTCTGCTACATCTCATTACTTTTGTTTAATTGTTTGTTTTGTTTTCCCAATAGAGTTTCTCTGTATTGCTTTGGAGCCTGTCCTAGAACCTACTCTGTAGACCAGGCTGGCCTGGAACTCACAGCAGAGATACACCTGCCTCTGCCTCCCAGGTGTTGGAAAAAGCCGCTTTTTTTTTTTTTTTTTTTTCCCCCCCCCCGTATACATGGTAGGACTTTGAAGTGAGGATGACTCAGTTTTTATTATAGTAAGAACAATCAACACAGGAGTCCTCACCACAATGTTTTCTAAAACCTGAGATGATAGAACAAAGATGTGAAAGGAGAAGGCATCAACCCCAAAAGAAAATGGACAACCAGAAGGAACACATGTGAGACCAAACAATCCACAGACAATAGAAGAAACATGAGCCAGTTAGAAAATCCTAAAATAAGATGACTTGACACAATCCAGATAGGCTCATGATTGAAAGCAGTAGTAGTAGAGGGAGGAATGGAAACCAAAAGGGAATAATTAGGGAACTGGAGAGACAGTAGAGTAGTTAAAAGCACATACTGCTCTTGCAGAGGACCCACACTCAATTCCCTGCACCTGCACTGAGTAGCTCACAGGTGCCTGTAATTCTATATGATCTAATGTCCTCCTCTAGTCCCTATGAATGCCTGAACATATACACACATACCAACACACAGAAGTATACACATGCTCCTGATATCTCTCCTATTACCTCCCTGTACCTGTCTTCTCTCAAACATGCATATACACATCACATTTTCTGTCACTCATCTCATTTTTTCTTTTATGCATACATATAGCTGAATGTTTCATCCCTACTGGCAAGCTTCAATAGTGCTGTAAGGTGTTATGCATACAGCAGTCCAAACATATTCATCAATGTCACCTACCTGTGAAGCACACAAGCTGAAATAACAACCCAGCAGCAAGATGTGGCTTATGGTACCACAGTAGCATAAGTGTTATTAAAGTAAGCAACCACTTTCTAATTGGATTTAAGGCCAACCAGCTCAATGAGATGACATGTTGTCCAGCACAGCAATGCACACCTTTCACCTCAGTGCTCAGGAGGCAGATACAGGTGGAATTCTGTGAGATCAAAGTCATCCTGATCTACATAGGGAGCTCCAGGATAGACAGAATTACTTAGAGAGATTCTTTCTAAAAAATAAACTGGACCGTCCCTGACACTATTAAGGCCTCTAGTCACTACACACAGTTACACATATGTATCCACGTGAACAAATGAATACACACACACACACACACACACACACACACACACACACTCAACTAATCAGGTAGTCGTCAATATCATTATCATGGAAGGGCTTTAAAGTTAGTCTCTCCAATTTTCTTGGATTGCTATTTGGTCACAGAAGGCCTTACCCTCCCTGAGAAGCAGAAAGGGGATAGGGTGGGTTTTGGTGGGGGTTATAGGGGTGAATGGGAACATGAGGGAACTGGGATTGACATGTAAAACAACATTTTTTCAAATTTAAATAAAAAGGAAAAAAAACAAAATTTAAATTATCACAATAAATAGTTCTAGTAACCCACAGTTTCAAGAGTTTCCAGAATGTAAGAATCCAACATATTAATGAAACCCTATGTGACACATCATCACACAATCTCAGAGAGCCAGAGACAACAGAAAGATAATGTTCGAGAAGAAAAAAAGGGCAGAAAGCAAAGAAGGTCCCATAATCAACACATCATTCAAGTTTCAAAACCAAACATGGAAAGGGAAGACAATGCAGCAATATCAAAATTTTATTTAAAAAAAAAATGCAGCACAGCAGAAAGATCTCCTGGTTTGAGGCCTGCATGAGATTATAGTGAGTTCCAGAACAGCCAAGACTATTACACAGAGAAACCCTGTCACACTAACAACAACAAAAGCAGAATCAAAACACCAAGAAGTGCAAATAAGTATCGAAATATCAGAAACATGAAAGAGAACAAGGAGTTAGAGCAATTTCTCAGTGGTTAATACCATGCACTGTTCTCCAAGAGGTCCTGAGTTCAGTTCCCAGCACCTATATCGGGCTCATCACAGCCACTTATAACTCCAAGTACAGGAGATTCAACATCCTTCCCTGGCCTTTCAGAGCACCTTAATCATGAACACAAATGCACACAAATATAACATGCACAAAATTAAAAAAAATAATAATTAATTTTGAAATAAAATCTTTTTTAAAAATGGAAAATAAGACCTTTACAGCTATGCAATTGCCTTTTAAAATTACCTACTGTACCTTATTATCTGAAAGATAAACAAGTTAATTAATCACAAATGTTCTCTTTTGAAACAGGAAACAGAACATTTAAGATAAGGAAACAAGAATCCTTGGCTGCTGAGTGAACTGTAGTATCAGGACAAAAATGCCCAGTAGATCTATAGAACACATTTTTCTTTTTCTTTCTTTGCTCTTTCTCTTTCCTTCCTTCCTTCCTTCCTTCCTTCCTTCCTTCCTCCCCTTCTTTCCTTCTTGGAGACATGGTTTCTCTGGCTATCCAGGATCTCATTCTGTAGACCCGGCTGGGCTCAAAGTCACAGAAATCCACCTGCTTCTGTTCACAGTGCTGGGATAAATAGGTATGTGACACCACTGCCACTCATTACACATTCTTATTGGACTAGGAGAATCTAAGATTCCAAGAAAAATGGCCCCCAGAAGAAAATGAAGGAGTCCAAGAGTATCTATGGTTATTTCACGAGACCTGAATTTGGTTCCCCTTACAGACCATGTTGGGGATCTGATGCTTGTGGCCTCCAAAGGTACCTGCACTTGTGTGCACATATCTACAATCAAGTTACACACATGCACATAATTAAAATAAAAAATAGAACAGGAAAAATCTGGCAGTAGGCACACACATAACTTTGAACCCAGCAATTAGGAGACTGAGTACCTCAGTAAGTTCCAGGTCACCCTGAATTTCAATACAAGACACTCTCAAAAAAAATAACAATAATGACAATAATAGAATTGTAAATGAACAAATTAGCCAAGGTAGTTGAGTGATTGGCATTTCCATTGAGATAGATTACAAATATCCATTACAGGAAGCCAAGTAGTAAAATAAAACGTCGGGCAACTCAGGATATATAGTCAAGTCAGACAGACTACTATTCAGAGATCCATAATACTGTAAGAAGAAAATGTCACACTAGTAATTTGGGAAGATAGTAAAGGCGTTTCCACAAGAGGAAAAGGACAGTATGTCTGTAACAAAGTAAAGGTAAGGACAAACACCATGTCACACCTGTGCACAGTCAAACTCTCACACCACACCCCCACAAACACCCCCCATCTCAATATGCACACTATAGAAAGGAAGGAAAAGAGAGACAGCAAGGGAGGGAAAGGAAGGAAGAAAAGAGACAGAGGGGAAGGGGCCTGGGACCTGGGAAGACAAACAGATTTATGACAACAGCAGCGAGAGCACTTGTGGGTTAGTGTCTAGGAGAGAAGAGGGTGAGGATAAAAGGTAAGATTTCACTTTACATTACCCAAGAACTCCTCCCTCCTCTAGCACCCCAATTGGTAATCTGTTAACTCTTACTGCAGTCTTTATTGTGAGGAATCCTGTTAGCCGATGTCTCCTGTGAGAGTAAAAATTCTGACTGCCTTCTATCAGGGGAGAAGACAGATGGAAGAACACACTTTTAAATCCTTTATGGGAGTCTGCAGGGGAGACTTCCTGTTCTCATAAGCTTACTCATTCACTACACAACTCCACACATGGTTCATTTGTGAGTACCCACAACATCAAAGGCTATATTCATATCTAAAAAAATATCTGTAGTCTACAAACCTGACGCACACTTTCCTGACGTTGAGAATTTTCATTCAAGGTATCTGTTATTACTCCTTTAAGTCGTTCTTTATTTATTTCAAATATTCTTAGTGTGGTTTTGGCCTAAGTAAAGAGAAATACACCGTTTATAACAATTTCGCAGAAAGCCGCCTGATTATGTCTTTTCTGAAGAACATAAAAAATGTAAGCAAAAGCCAAAACATTCCACTATTTACAGCAGAGGCAGTATCAACACTACTTTGATAGACAAAGTCATTTGCCACATGACTTTGAACAAATTATTGAACCTTCCATGTACAATGCAGACCATTTTGTTAACTACTGAAATAGAAAAGAACAATTATTAGTTACAGAATTATTGGTATATTTAGCGGCTTACTTAAAACACTGCTTTACTGCCTATTTGCCAAACATGGCTTCACTTGCTACCAGGAAGGGAATAACCTGGAGAAATAGCTGAAAGAATGGGTTGTCACCCTTAGCAACCTGCTACTGCCATGTACACTTCAGAAAAATTTGCTTGCTTGCCTGCCCACTTTGTGATTTTAGAAAAGAAACTCTAACTAGAATTGAAGGCTTTCTGGAGGTCTCAGGAGGACAGTCCACTGGTGACCTCTCTCTTCCATGCTCACTAGTGTAGGAGTAGATATTAGAGAAAGACCCCACACTCCTTACACTTTGTCTCCTGACCTAAACTTTATACAGCAGGAAGCAAATCTATTTATTATTGATACATGTTACACAACTTCAAGAGTGCTCAGATACATTCCTAGGTTAAATATATCTAGAGGAAAATGAATTTCAATCAAAGTAACACATTAAAACAAATGCATATTTAAGATTGGCTACATTTCAAATACTAACAATATTTTATTACCTAATGTGATGGCTGTTTGGTTATCAATGATAACTGGAATTAACTAAAACCCAAGGAAGCTGTGAGTACTGTTTCTAAATTAAATAATTTCAAGTGGCAAGACCCACATTTAATCTGGATCTTTTGAGGTGGGAAGATCCACCTATATTCCAGGCTATACCTTCTGGCAGCAGCCTATCTAAAGGACATGGAAGAGGAAGCTTGCTGGTCCTCACCCTCACTGGCATTACAGCCTACTTCTTTGGTATTCCAGTGTATACTGAGTATCAGGTGAGATATCCAGCCTCATGGACTGAGAAAGTGCTGGATTCTTGGACTCTCTGTTGGTAGACTGACATTGCTGGTCTGAGTGGAACACAGCCTGGAAATCGCTTTAATAAATACCTGATATATAGATAGATATCTATTTAGATAGATAGATAGATAGATGACATCTCATAAGTTCTGTTCCTCTAAAAAACTCTGACAAATATACCTAATAATAATATGAAACATAAATGGTCTTCAGAAGTGACAGACTAATTTATTTCAACTTAACTTACTTCAGCTAGCTGTGATTTGACAGACTGTGATTCATCTGCTAGAGACTGGATCATTTTTGAAAGGTCACTCATCTGAAAAGACAGTATCAGTCAGTAAGTATTTAATAAGTCCATTTTGCTCCAAGACAACATGCATTAGTGAGGTACATTGTTAATTTACTGTTAATAAAAGGGAGAGGCCAGATAAGGAGGCCTTGTCAGCTTGCATTCCAAGTGCTCACAAGGATTTTAAAAATTATGTAATCACATGATGTCCTTAAAAAAGCAATACATCATAGAACTTTTCAGGTTTAAGGTGAACCCACTAATTCGTATGTTAAATAATCTCACACACATCAAGATTTTGCTTAATCCAGAATTTAAAGTAAAATAAATGATATATATGTATATATATATTATATATGTTATATATTTTTCACTATGAATATTCAAGTTATATTCTTTATGGTTACTTCCAACGTAAATATTGAAATTTTCCATTTAAAATAACAAGCGAGCCAAGTGTGGGGGTGCACACTTGTAACCCCAGCTCTTAAGAGGCACAGGCAGGAAGGTCATGAGTTTTAGGCCAGCCTCACTTATACATACAGGACTATATTCTAATACTATGTCAATGAATATAAACAATAAGAAAACAGGAATATGCACAAGCCACTCATCATAACATCTAAAAAGTAAAAGTTTGATGGGAGGTGTTGGCCCATGCCTTTAATCCCAGAAAACAGGAGGCAGAGGGAGGTGGATCTTTGTGAGTTCCAGGCCAGCCTGGTCTGCATAGTGAGTTTCACAACAGCCAGAGCTATTACATGGAGAAATCCTGTCTTGAAAAAACAGAACATAACAACAAATAAATAAAAGAGGTGAAAAGATCAGATCAGATGTGAAAAATTTTGTTCTCATATTATTCTACATCATTTTTTTTTCTTTTGATTTTTCAAGACAGGGTTTTTCTGTGTCACTTTGGAACCTTCCTGGAACTCATTCAGTAGAGCAGGCTGGCCTCAAACTCACAGAGATCTGCCTGCCTCTGCCTCCAGAGTGCTAAGATTAAAGGCATTTGTCAAGAATGCCCAGCCTGCATTCCATTTTTTATATACATGAGTTTATTTACATTTTTGAAGATAGTATATCCTCTCCCTGTTCAGGGCAGGATAGCTTGGAACTGTTGTTTCTTCCTCCCAAGTGCTGGTATTATAAGTTTGTGCCACTATGGTTGGCTCACATATAATATTTTAATCAATATTTAATTTATAGGTAAGATTCATAATTCTCTTGGAATATATAAGACTCACCAATTTCTCTTCTTCATAATGCTTAGCTCTCTCTTCTTCTAGTTTCTTCTCTATAAGTAATATTTCTTCTTCAAGTTTAGATTTATCTCTTTCTAGATTTTTATAAGTTGCCTAAAATAGAAAGCTAACTTTAACAAGCCAAACATAAGAATTTTTAGTTAGGTTAAAAATCAGATGATTGTAGGGTAAAAATCAGATGAGTATACTCAAATATATAAACACTTTATACATTTTTTCATTTCTCAAATATTAAAATAACAGCAGGTTTAACAGTTGCCAGCAACTTCTATAAAAAAAAAAAAGTGTAAGTATTTTAGGTGCCCACCAGTTAACCACGGCAAACAATGAATATCCCCTGAAGGAATTAAAACAGTTGCATTCCAAAAAAACTTTTATGTAAAAATAAAGAAAAATTAATGAGTTTATTTGGAGTCTAAACTCCCTGCAGATTCTACAAGGGCATTCTAAATCATAAGACACAGACTTGCTACTCAGGACAGAGGATGACAGAACTGACATACTGGACTGAACACATAATCTAAGTGACAAAGTTTTTTTTCTGTTTTATCATTGGTAGGAGCAGGCTACTTCTATTTACTCTACAGGCTCACAACTCAGTTTTAATAACCGTTCCACTTGCAAAGAGTATTGAGGCACTTCATCACATCATACTCTGTCTGTTAAGACAAGTCATTGTGTCCTCTGAATCAGGAGAGTTAACTGTCCATCTCTCCTAAACTCTCCATTCTGTGAAATCATGGTTATGGACTGAAAACTGGCTGTGATGGAGTGTGTAGACAAGGGTTGATGCACAGAAAGGGATTAAATATTTATCACCATGCCACTCTTTACAATGTAAACCTCAATTCTAATTTTAGTAAATATCTACTACCATGGTAAGAAAAAACAATATGGTCACAACTTACTTGTCTGCTACTATGCTTAAATTTGTGAGAGTTCTATGTCTCTTTCCTGGAGCAAACTATGTCAAAAGTAGGAATTGTCTTTCCAATCCATTCACCAGAGTACAGAATGCAGAATTTCTTTCTTTCTATAAATCTATAGCTTCTGATAAACTGATTTTGTATCCCTCAAAACAAGTTAATGACAAGAGATAAAACTGTTATGTTTTAAAATATTTTATGCCACCTACAACTATTCTGTTTCCACTAACTTTTTCTGTACATTGTAAGATCCAGATACACAATTTCATATTTCTCTGACATAATTGTTTTTGAGGAGACAAGATATTTCTAATAAGAATCTTTTCCCTAGCTTTTACATCATACTTTTTTTTTACCTTCAAACTCTGTACTTCTGTTGATGCCTTGTCAAAGTTGGCCTCCTTTAAGGATGACTCTAAGCCTTCATACTGAATAAAACAAGGGAACACATGAGGGAAAAAATACAAATTTTAACTCAACTTGTATCTAAATAGACACCAAAGAAGGAAACAGAATTTATATCCACCATGTGAAGTACCCTTGGATTTTATGAGCTTAGTTTGCAATCTAAACACTGTGCTGAGGAAAGCCAGGTCTACAAACAAGCCACAACCACCAGCCTAGGCAACATATGGCAGAACGTTTCCCTTTGTGACTACCATAGTTGCCCCACATCTGCTGGGGCTGAAAACCCTAACAGCAAGTGTGACTAAAGTGGATCTAAAGAAGTGAGTCATCTACTATCCCCTGAACAGATTAATGGCTTCTCCAGTCTGTCAGTAGAACAATATGTGGTAACTGGCTATCAGACATTTATATCATGTGATAAATAAGGCAAGTAAGGAAGATAAAATCTGTGAGTTTCAGACCACCCTTGTCTACAGAGTGAGTTTCAGGACAGCCAGTGATGCACAGAGAAACCCTGTCTCAGCACCTCAGAATTTGTGTTATTTAGAGACAAAGCCTTTAAATACAGCTAGGTAAAATGAGGGATTTAAGATGACTGCAACGTAATATGACTGGTATCCTATGTGGAGAGCACTAGGACAGAGAGTGACATAACAAGCAGACAGCAATATCTAAAGTCAAGGGACAGGTCACAGAGGAAGCAAAGCCTGGCTCTATCTTCATGGACTCATTTCAAGAACTGTAAGGAAATTCACTTCTGCTGCTAAAGGTATTTTGTCACAGTAGCCCTAGCATTCCCGAATGAAAACAGTAAATAAAGTCTCTACATGATAACAAGTAAAAGTACCTTTACATCCTTGATAAGCAAAAAAAAATCTCATGAAACATTACACTACATTAAATTGTAATTCAAATCCTCTACCTTCTAAGACACTGAACAAAACAGAAATGTAAGCCACAGAGTAGAAGAGATTTACAATCCATATATCTGACAAAACTCTTTCTTATATATGACATAAAATAGTAAAAGCAAAGGCCCTAATCTATATGGCATAAACTGAGAAAGATTATGAGTGCATTTAAAAGGATGGAAATGGGCAAGTGTGATGGCTCAGTAAGTAGTTAAGGAGCTTGCTGCCAAGACTGATAACCTGAGTTCAATCCTAGGGACCCACGTAATAAAAAGAGGAAAGTGACTCCTCTATGTCCTATTCTTGGTACACGCCTACACAAATAGACACACACAATAAAAATAAAGTCATCTTTTAACGTGGAAAAGACTTAAAGGCAATTTTACAATATCTAAATGAGCAATAAGCAAATCAAGGTGCTCTGACTAATTAGTCAGGAAGGTAAACACTACACATCACCAGGGTGGCTGCAAAGAGAATGGCTAAGTGATGAAGTTGAGCAGCAACAGAGCTCTGGTCTGAAACAAAGCTCTGATGGCAAGCAATAACCCATGGAGAACAATTAAGCTCCACACTGTGATGGATGGTATTTTCAAACACATCTTACCTCCTCTTGAGCAAGGCACACTTTGTCAATTAGATCACATTTCTTTTTGATTTCCATTGCAAGTTCCACAGCCAGTCTATTCTCTCTTACTGAGCAAGCAAAGAAAAAATTATTATGACTAAAGTGTGAAAACGCTTTAAATTATATACAATCACAAGATCTAAAATCAAAAAAGACTACTTACTCAAATAAAGTCGGCTTTGAATCTGAAACAAAAATTTAACAAAATTACATTAAAACAAATATATCTTCAAGCAAATCTATCTGACTTCTACTTCCAGCTTTAAGATGCCAACTTTCTTATGGCCTTATGGTAAATAAATTACCCAAAAGCCTTCTATTTCAAATGAAAACAATGCTATATAGTAAGGTCTCCCATTGTGTGGTATCATGTGTGTTACCATATTAAAGGCTCTGAAACAGTCTTATTCTAAAGAAAACTGTATAATTCCACTTAACTCCATGTTTCCCATGCATATATTGGCTCTAAAGCAAAGTATTTTAAGGAGCCACCATTATTAAATCTCCTACGGTTAATAATCAAAATAAAAATATATGAAATATCATTGGACTCTAGACCTTGACTGACTAAAAAAACTCATTAGTCTTTTTCTTCTTCATACTTCAGCTTTCGATAAGGAAGGGATACATCCACCCTTGAGAACAGTGGGGATAGGGTAAAGTGATCAAGGGATGCAAACAAGAACACTCATGCCACCTAGAAAACAGAGACAGAAAATTGGAAGAAAAAAAAATGACAAAAAAAAAAAAAACAGTGGGATATATGTAAGCAGAAGGTAAGGAAGAAAAAACCATGAAGATATTAGAAATGAAGTCAGTCAGAAGCACAAAGGCCAACATCTAAAAAGAAGTCTCAGAAAGAAAAGGCTATGTTATGACTCCCTCCTTAAAAACAGTTAGCATAGGAAAAAGCAATATAGGATCCATAGGAAAAAGCAATATAGGATCCAGGAGAGCCATGAAAGTAGCGATTTTTACTCTTAGTTGGGAAGTAGATACACCTGCAAACTTTTTAATATTGTTAGAAACAAACACAGACACCCCAAATTTAAAGAAGAAAAGGGAAAGAAAGAAAGTTGGGGCTTTAGTACTAGTGTGTAGTATCCCTACAATAAAATCCTTTAAAATACACTTACATAAAAATATTTCTGTTAATCTCTGTTCAGTTTTTAAAAACCACCTGTTAGCATAATGCAGAACACTAAGACCTAACTCATTTCCCTGAAATAACAAGTTTCTCCAATTAGATGTTCAATCTAAACACAAAATGAAGGTTAGAGAGAAATGGCTCAGAACATTTGTTAGTCTTGTAGAGGACCAAGATTCAAATGCCATCATCAACATTATAGCTCACAGTCATCAGTAATTCCAGCTCCAGGGCATCCAACAATGGCCCACTAATCACTTCTGTAGACCAGGAACACGTACCACACACACATGCATACAAGCAAAACAGCATACACATAAAAGGAAATAAACTTAAAAAACAAAAACAAAAAACTTAGAATGACCATTCACTTACTATAAGTGGTTACTTACTGATCGGTATCCTCTCCAAAGAAATAAAAAATGGTAACCAGTCCAATGGCAACCACACATATCAGCGATTCTAATGATGGCTCACTAGGATCAAAGCTTGTTGTCATATCTTCAGGCACTGCTGCCACAACCTTCAAGACAAAGAAAATAAACTTATAAGCATGCTTCTTCAACAGTACTGGTACATAGACAGGCACAGGTGGCTGTGGCCAACTCTATTCATATTGAATGGGCTACCATAAAATACAAAGCAGAATGCCTCCAAAGATGTTTTCTAGTAAATTACAATTGTTCTTATTGAGGGGCTAAGTGTGGTGAAACAGTAGTTTTCAAACAGAAGTTATGGGGAGATTCCACAGAGCATAACTCCAGGAGAGTTAAAGGATAAGGATATAGTATCAAGAAAAGAACATTGTGGAATATTTTATATGTGTTTCATTCTTTTATGTTGCATTTGTTTAACTCTGTAAAGCTGCATTACTTTGCCAGTCTAAAACACCTGATTGGCCTAATGAATAGCTGAACAGACCAATAGCTAGGCAGGAAAAAATAGTCAGGGCTGGCTGGCATGCAGAGAGTATAAATAGGAGGGAGAGACCTAGAGAAGATCCAGGGACAAGAGGAGGAGGACACCAAGGGCACCAGTCATAGAGTAAGAAGGAAAGAAAGGCATATAGAATAAATAAAGGGAAAAGAGCTCAGAGGCAACACATAAAGAGAAATGGGATAATTTAATTTAGAAAAGCTGGCTAGAAACAGCTGAGCTAAGGCCAGCCATTCGTAAGTAAGAATAAATCTCAATGTATTTATTTAGGAGATGGGTGAGGGACACCGTCCCTACCAAAGATTTTTAAAATCCAGTAAAAAAAAAAAAAAAAAATAAAAATCAATGATCTGGGTTGGGTTCTTTTCCCTGAGTTCAAGTTCATGATTTATCCATATGCACTGGGTTTGAAAAAACATTTCCTGCAGAGGAAAAACACTGAACTGCAGCTTGTCCTCTGAGGAAGGGAGAGTGATAAGAAACTAATGACAGAGCTTCAGAGTTGGGATTTAACCCCTTCCTTCCTGTCTCTTGAGTTAAATTAATGCAGTTTGAGCCCAAAAAGAAAATGGCTCTTTCAAAAACAACCCTAGAAATGATGGGCTTGACTCTTTCCAGGCATCAACATACACCATCTAGAAACTCCTCAGCTGTCTTCTCCTTGGGGTCTGACAAAATGAACAACAAATCCTTAGATAATTACTATCTATAAAACCTGTTTTATGCTAGTACATGACAAGGACCTTTTACCTCACCACTTCTACCAAAAAAAAAATACATGCAATAGTATCCTCTTTTTTTTATTCCCTGTATCTTTATTTTCCTTTTTACATCTGTGACTCCAGAAAGGATCCAAAGTGTAGGTGCACAGCCTCTGCTCTGGGTTTCATGGAGAGTTCCTTTAACCTTGTGTTTTAGATCCTTAAGGTACAGGACTGACCTTACAAGGGCTCAGAAAAGGGTTGAAAATATTTTATCCTGGTCCTCTCTCTCTTTCTCACCTGAGCCACATACAAACAAGTGTGATATCATGTTGCAAGGCAATGATAACGATTTGCTTCTAGGATCACAAGAATAGATATTCAGGCACGGCAAATATTTCCATTATCTCACTCCAGAGACTATGAATGTATATCCAAGCCCTCCACATACCCTCTAAAATATTCTTCCACACCTCGCAGAGTAAGGCCTGCAGTTAATTGCATATTTTACCTCTTCCTGAATCCATCTTCCCTCAGTGGGTTATTCTAGTCTTTATCACCAGGCCCCAATACTAACTGATCATAAACAAGTAGACTCCTCTGATAGCAGATAAAAAAGACTAAGACTAAAACTGTTACTAGAAACAAAGATGTGATGGAAAAGGCTAGCTCAGTCTTTAAGATGTAGGATTTTATGCAAGAGAACAATAAAATGAAGTAAATCTGTTGAAGTAAGGATAAAACAAACCGTTCATCAACAGTAGTTAGTTATTTTTAGATCTCATTTTCAGTGAGTCAGCATGAAAAGAGAACATGGTAAAAACACAACAAATAAGTTAGACTATCATACTAGCAAAATACTATGCAATAATAGCAGAAAATACATTCACTCTCAAATGTACATGGAAGATTCTTCAGAAAAAATCCAGGCATTAAGCTAAAACACACCTCAATGTTTTCTTTGTTTTTTGTTTTGTTTCTTTAAATAATCAAACCACATGGCCAAGCCCAGAGAAATGGCTCAGCAGCTGAAAACATTTGCTGCTCTTGCAGCAATCCATGTCAAGAAGTCCCTAAGTGCCTGCCCATGACTCCAGCTCTGTGAGATCTGATGCCCTCTTGCCGCTTCCTTGGGCAGCTGAAGCTACAAGCTCATACACACACATACACATAGTTTAAAATAGTAAAAATTCAATTAAAAAATTCCCATGTCAAGAAGCATCTTCTCTGATTACAACGGGTTAAAATTAGTTATCAAAAAAACAGGAAGGGCTGGAGAGAGAGCTCAGCAGTTAAGAGCATTTGTCATTCTTATAGATAAATGACCCATGTTTGTTTCCCAGGGTCCACTTGGTGGCTCACCACTATCTATGACTCCATTTCCAGGGAAATATGTCACCCGTTAAGGCATCTTTAAGCACAGCAAACATGTGACGCATGGACATACATGCAAGAGCATGTACATAAAAGGTTTTTTTAAAAAAAAATAATAATAAATAAAATGCAACATAAAACTTACACAAAACAACTAATTCAGTGTGTAACAGGAAAATTTATAGTCATAAAAGACTTTGTAAAAAAAAAAAATATGTGGGGGCAGGGGCTGGAAAGATCTCACAATGGTTAAAAACATTAGCTAGTTGTCAAGAGGTTCTGAGTTCAGGTCCTAGCATCCACATGGTAGCTCACAACCATCTGCAATGAGGTGCCCTCTTCTGCCCTGCAGGGATATAAGGAGACAGAACACACTATATATAATAAATAAATCTAAATAAAAATTTTAAATATTATTGGGCCAGGAAGATAGCTCAGCAGGTAAAAACTTTGCCACCAATCCTCAGGACCTGTGTTTGACCCCCATCACCAATGTGGTAGAAGGAAAAAACCGACTCTTGGGGCTTTGGATTTACACACACACACACACACACACACACACACACACACACCATATATACACAGAAAGGAATGTAATGCTCAGTTAAAAAAATCAATGTCATAATCCACAGTAAAAGAAATGAAGAAAAAGAAGATCTCAACAGATAGTAATAAAACATGTAAGAAAATCGACCGTCTAATCATCAGGAGACTGCAAACTAGGACTACTTTTCTCAATCTGACAAACAGCACCAATAGAAGACTCATAGCTAACACCATCCTGAAGGGGAGAGAATTGTTCCCTTACAAAATGCAACACACATCCACACAGCCCACTGAACCACAGAAAATCCAGCCAAGTCTGCAAAATCCCTCCGTGTTCCTCACCCCCAACCTTATCAAAAACAAGTGTTGGTAACTGCTAGGTGCCTGTGTATTTTATGTGAAAAGCCAGAGGCTGCTGTTGTAATGTCTTCCTTCTCTACCTCAATTTTTCTAAGGCAGAGTCTCTCACTGAATCTAGAGCTCACACATTCTCTGATAAACTGATGACCAGTGAACCTGGGATTCCTCTATTCATACCTCCACCCAGCGTTTACATTGCCTTAAGGGCTCCTACTCCAGATCATGGCAAGCACTTTCCTTTCCGCACTGAGTCATCTCCCTAGGCCCTGATTGTGGATTCTGAGGGAGATGTGTGTGATCTGAAATCATCTCTCATCTACAATATGCTTCTCTTCCCATAAGGCCCATCTCAGTAACTTAGCTGACAGAGCCAGGAACTTGGGACTATTCCAGATTCTTCACACATCCCACCCCTCTCTGCAGCTAATCAAGAAAGTCACACTCATTTTAGCTCTTATTTCTTCTTGCCCCATTTAGGACCAACTTCTCTATCCTTATCCCTATCAATTCTCCTTCCTGTGTTTTTTTCCCCTGACATTTGATTCTCATACTATCAGGAATATCTATACATTTTTCTATGGGTCTCACCACTGATGAGCCTGTGCTGGATCTCACACCCCACAGCAATCCTTGAGACCCACTGGTCTACAGTAAGCATCATGTCACATCAGGCCCTTGGCTCACTTATGCTGTGAGCTCCTGTGTATGCTGTTTTCACACCTCATCTACTGAAACTTATTTGCTCAGTCTAAAGACTTTGCCAGCAACCCAAGGAAAAACAATCACTCCCTTCCCTTATTTTGCATGTGTACTTCTATAGGCAATAGACTTCAACTGTGGATTAATTTTGTGTATTTTCTCCCCAAACAGCCAACATGATGAAAATGACCAAAATCCTTATTTCATTTAGAACCTCCATAGAGCATTTTTATTCATGGGCAAATGAACCATGAGCATGGCACTACTTACTTTAAATTCACAGAACATGAAGATAATTAGAACTGGCAGCAGCTCAAAAATCCTCCATGGGCACACCACGGTGGCAGTACGAGGCACCGCCATCCCTGTGCCCACCATGGGGGGCCTTGCAGCTGGACAGATGGACAGCAGCAGAGCAGAGCACAGTCAGTGGGACACTGGGAAAGGGAAGGCTTCTGGGGCCGGCTGGCACCACTGCCCTCTCCACCTCCTTATCTCAGTTGACGCGTCAACGCTGGCACTCTGACCTCCAGCACCAGAGTCCTGGAGAGCTGGAGCAAGAAAACCTAAAGCACCCAGTGTGGGGCTGCAGGCCCTACACTCCGAGGCCTGCGGCACAGCCCCGGAGTGAAAGCTCAGCCCCCTATCCCCAGCTACTATCGCACTCTGTCCTATCAAGTCAAAAAAACAAAAAAAAAAAAAAAAAAAAAAAAAACAAAACAAACAAAAAAAAAACACTCCCCTATGGAACACTAAAAGCTGAAGCACCAACTTTGGGGCTACAGCCCTACACTCCGAGGGCTGGCACAGCCCCAGAGTGAAAGCTCAGCCCCCCAAGTTACAGCTACTATCACGCTCTGTCCTATCCTCTCCAGTCCAAAAGCCACACTGTAGTAGCTAGGGGGGGAAACGCTCCTACGCAGAGATGTCGTCCTCCGTCATAATCAGTGTCAGAAAACGGCCTCTGACGTAAGAGACGATGACGCATTCACACTTCGAACTCACTGTGATCAGCCCAGTTATACCACTTGACTCCTAAGAAATATCCTTTCTTGACTCGGAATTAATAGCAGGTGGGTGGGTGGGTGGGTGGGTGGGTGGGTGTGGTGTGTGTGTGTGTGTGTGTGTGTGTGTGTGTGTGTGTGTGTGTGTGTGTACTAATTCCTGGAGATGGAGACATTCTGCTCAGCACTGCCCTATTTAGCATCCTATTTGTAGGCCTCATGAAATAAGCTGATGCTTTTGTGTATCTCAAATGTAGGACCTGAGAGTCACTGCTCTGAAATGTCTTTTTATTTTTCAGTGTCAGATCTCATTTCATTGCTCCATGTGCTTCCAAGTAATGACTGCTTTGAATTTCCTCCAAGAAAACTATGTAGGAACTTGGCAAAGTATGTTGGAAAAGAAAACAAAAACAAACAAACAAATAAAACAGACCATCTAAAGTTTTTAAGCATCAGAAATTTGGTTTGTTTTTCCCTAAATTGGAAGTTAGAGCTGATGTGTCAGTTCATTTCCCCAGTTGTTACCTTCAGGGTGATTGAACAGAAGATCAACTGATAAGTATTAATTGCCCTCAAGGAAGTTCTGGGAGCTACCTGTGTTTGCTGTGCTCACTGAACCACACCAAGTTGCAAAACTAGGTACCACCTGTACTTGCCCAAATTTAGTTTATCACTTTGGGCCATGTGGTTTTAGGACAGAGCTGACTGGAGTTGGGTTTTGGCCCCAACTAAGCTTTCTTACATGGAGAAGAAGCCTGAAACTCCAGTGCATGTGTGCTGTAGGCCAGTAGTGACACTGTTCAAATACACTAAGCAGAAAATGTCAACATGGCATATTGGCAAGGTAGTGAAGAACAGACTGAGATCCTTTATAATTTGGATCTGGTTTCATTCTTGATGACTCATTTTCATAGTTTTCTTAGTAGAATTTTTTTTTTTTTTTTTTTTTTTTTTTTTTTGTTTCTTGGAACAGGTTTTTCAGAGGCTGCCTGGGAACCGGCTCTTATACACCAGGCAGGTCTTGGACTCATAGAGATCCGCATACCCCAGCCTCAAAGGCTGGGATTAAAAGCCTGCCACACTCCTGATTGGTTCTTAATAGATTTTCAATAGCTGTTATAATCCTTTACTTTGGAGATGGAGCCATGATGATATATACCACAAAAAGTTATTCTTTATTAGTACTTTTTGGTATTACCCCGAGGGAGTATTCATTTACGTTAAAATACAAGCTCTGTTGACCTCCATATTTTCTGCTTTGAATTACCATCTCCAATCTGTTACTCCATCCCAAGAATTGCACTACTAACTTCTTTATTGTTTTCACTTCTCAGTGTTCACTTGAACATCTTATTTGAATCAGTTTCCACAAACATCAAGAGCTACACATTGAAGCACATATGACTTTTCAAATCCAGCTCCAATAATTCTTCAAAACTCTTCATAATTCTGTTATTTCCTTGGTGTGTGCTTCAGGATTATTGTGTAGAGGGGGCGTAATATTTGCAAATTGCTTCACAATAGTGTCTCTTATTTAACAAACACTTCTCAAATGTGACGTCAATGTTCACATAAACACAAGAAGATCCTCTTCTTTTTAGATGGTCTCCTGAGTCCTAGGAACACTCCACCTTTGGAATTCTTTCACTGATATACAAAACTTGCGAGCACAGCAAATGTTTAGATATTGTCTTGAAGAATTAAGTGAACTCTTTCTACAATTTTAATTATTTATTTGTCAGTGTCTGTGTGGGCAGATGAACCCTTGCCATTGTAAACATATGGTCAGAGGCCAAATTAGGATTTGAATTGTTCCCTACTAATTTTGAATTGTGTAAGTCTAGAAGACTTAACTTAGGCCTTTAGCTTTGACAGCAAGCATCTTTACCCACAAGGCTATCTCAAGGCCTAATGAATCAGATCATAAGAATTTGATTTATTATTTTTATTTTATCAGTCAAATGAACAAATTTAAGTGAAATGAAGGAACAATAGAATTATTTTTCCTATTTTACTTGTCTGTTTGGCCGTGTGTGTGTGTGTGTGTGTGTGTGTGTGTGTGTGTGTGTGTGTGTGTGCGCTACAGAAAGGATCAAGAACCATGTGTGTTTTAACATGAGCTACACTCACAGCTATGTTTTATTACTTTACTATCTAGGGATGATATTCTTTTCCTTTTTGCACTCTCTGGGATGGTAAATTCCCTACATAGACACTTAGCTATACTCAATATCTGGATTTCTTACCAACCATAATATAAATAGTAAGGGCCTGTAATGGAGGGTGGATGTCAATATAACCATATTCTAACTAGTTTGGAAAAAAAGCCTCAATGTCGGGATCAAAATATTTGAAGTTTTTTTGGTTAATGTTAGTTGCATGTCTTGCATGAATAGAATGAAGTTATACTCTTTTCGTGAGTGACCACTGAGGAGGGTCATTTTGTCAGTGAGATGAAGAAATTCAGACTGCCACATGAGAGAGATTTGCTTTCCATGTGTTGTGAAAGAAAACAAATTTAAAACAACCAGAAATTAACCAAGTGGCAACTAGGGTTTTTCCCTTAACCACTCATGTGTCTGGTGTTCACATACATGGCTGCCCTTTAATTTGTGGTCCTTCCAAGTGAGTTGAGGGACAACTAAAAAGGAGAAGTTGGATGAGAATAATATTCAGCAGATGACCCCAGGACAGAGAAGTTGCTTTCTTGTGATTAAATCCATAATGACAAACACATCTGTGTAGTTCTGTGCTGTGACTTTGCTGTGTTTACTTCCCCCACCTCCCTGTCAGGGCTAAGTCAGTGTGCTGTAATCTAACAGAGATCAGTTCTCAGCTTTTTTTTTGAAATGATCTGTCCAGTCATAAGGAGTTAGTTTTCCTACTAATTCAATAACTACATTCTTCAATAGGATTTTAATTTCAAACCATTGGAATAACTTATTTTTTCTACCTCCATGTGAATGTGGGTTATTAATGAGTTCATTAGACCAAAGATAAATGATAAACAGTTTTTTAGTGAACAACTTATACAGCTAATAGTAAAGAACCCCTGAAACGGTCCTGCTTCAGAAGATGCAGTCTCTGCCCTTCTGATGCTCTCCAAGAACCTGAGAAAATACCCACCCCTACCCCCACTTCTCTCCCTTCAGGTAAAGGTAATTATCTTTATTCATAGTAAGAGGTAAGTATAATTTTAAAAGTGAGTTATATATCAGAAGTAGACATAATCACAGGCATACGGATACACAATCTGTTTGTTCTGTTGGCACTGTAATTTAGAAAATTAAACATGGGTACAAGATAAAGTTCACATTGCTGAAGGCAATTTAACTAGAGCACTTTCTCTGTTGGCTACACTCTTGTCCATAGATCACATGCCATGTCAGGCCTCTCCACTCTTGTGATTAAAGAAAACTCTGATGTAGACTGACCAAAGACTATGTGCCTGAATTAGAACTAGAACTATATCTTAGAAGTACCATACCACTCCAGGTGAGCCATCATCTCCTGAAATACTCTTAGGTGTCAAGAAACTGTCATTCCTCCCTTAGAGCAGAATCCCAAAGACCCAACTGAGTGTTGGTTGAAAGCATGCTGAATCTAGTTCAACAGTCCATTACCCATTGGTAGGTAAGGTACACAGTAAGCAGTGGATTTCTTTCTTTGGGTATTTGTGTGACACGGGCTCTTGTAGCCTAGACTGGCCACAAACTTATTGTATAACTCAAGACTTCCTGGAACTTTGGGCCTTCCTGCCTCTACTTCGCCAATTCTGGTATTGCAGGAATGAGCCACTATTTATATCTCGTAGGCTGGTGGTGGGTGTGCATTATTCCTAGAGCTTCCTGCATGTTAGGTAAGTACTCTACTAACTGAGCTGAGTACATGTCCTTTTAGACAGCATTGTTTGTGTTGCTGTATTGTTTAACTTTTAAACTCTTCCCAGACTGTTCTCTCTGTTTACAGCTCAGTTTTAAGTATACATATATAAGTATATATTGAAACTATATCAATTACTGAAATTTCAAACATTATTAATTTCACACGATGTGGGGTCTAATGTCATTTTTCCCTCAGTGCACTGAAAAATCTAATAGTTGTTAAGGCAGTAATATTTCAGGAAACTAAATTGCTACAACAGCCCGGTTCACAAATAAGAACGCTTGATGGTGAGACGAGTTTCATTTCAGAGTGTGACATTCTGAAGAGTGTGCAAGTAGTCAGGGAATGCTCCAGTGGACAGTCTCCTTAAGTTCCATGCATCTAAACAGAATCTGCTTCTGAGATGTGATATGATGAAAGGAAGGTACTGCAAAGATGGGATGGGGTTCTTCTCCTG